TTTTTTTTTTTCTGGCAGAGTGTTGCTGTTAAAAAGTCTGATAATAAGTAAATTTTCTTCCTTTTTTAAAAGAAATTATGTTCTTGTTTTGTCTAGATGGCCAAAAGATTTTTCTTATAAGTCCAGTAATTTATTAAACTATGTCCTGGTGTTGGTTATTCTGGGTCAGTATTCTTAGGTGTGGTTGGTTTCAGCTGGGACTGTCCGTTGACGAGTACCTACGCTTACCCTTTCCCGCATGGTGGTTTCAGGATGGTTGTACTTGTTATATGGTAGCTTAGGACTCCCAGAAAAAATGTTCTGGCAGTCAAGGCAGGGGCTGCATGGTCTTTTATGACCTTGTCCTGGAAGTCAGCATCAGTTTCGCTAATACTCTATTCATCAAAGCAATCAGAAGCCTGCCCAGATTCAATAAGAGGTGACATACACTACAACTTTTGATGAAAGGATTGACAAAGAACTTGTGTTTTAAAATCACCATAGTATTTGTCTAAAAATTTGTCTGATGTAGATTTTATTAACAGTGATCATGCAGTTTAGATTTGAACTCATAGTTGATATTTGGTAAGGTTATTGTTAAAATATCTGTAGTGTAACTTGATTTTTTTGTAGAAGTAAACTTTGTCAGAATTGGTGAGAATTAGTAGTCCAAGAATGAAGACGACTTTGTAAAATATTTACATTTTACATTACATATATATTTGTATATAGATATTGACAGTTGTTTACAGATGTAAACAATTGCAAGTAAAATGTGAAATATTTCTCCTTTTAAAGAGTGAAGAAATATGAGGCAGTGGCATTATCTTTTGCACTAAAATTTCTAACTACATCCTGTTTTTAGATTTTTATAAGTTTGAACCAACTTATAGTACTTAATGTGTTACATACATATTTTATATCATTTGATAAGCAAACTGTTTCACCAGAGTAGAGCATTTTAGTAATGCTATAGATCTAGTCTGCCTTCTGATGATTTTTAAAGTTTTTTAAGGAAATCAAGAAAATAGTTTCATTGAATTAGAAAGCATCACAAAATTTTTGAAATGCAGTCTTAATTTTAGAATGTTTAGATATATTTTTCTTTATGATATTTTATTATGTTTTATTCATACTAAGAAAACCATACTTGGGAATCTTCAGATTTATGATTCTGGTCAATGTAAGTCAGTGAAAATGTAGGATTACACAGCCACAGAAAAGCATGCTGTGCTATAGGTACCATCTTTTACAGTGTCTGATTTTAGAGCTTACCTCATTCTGCCAAAATGTTTCAAAATACAGCAAGAAAACACTTGTGCTTATAAAGTGTTCACTTTGTGTCTCTGTGGTTGTATTGCATTCTCTTAGAAAGCTCTTTTCCCTAAAAATTTATATTAACTTTTACAAATTAAAAATTATAGTGATATTTTTATGTGTGTACACACACACACATCTGTTACTCTTTCTATATGTATATGGAGAGTGTGCAGCATTTGAAGATTGGTTATGTCATGGTGATAAGGGAAAGAGGAAGTATGGTTTGTCTTTAAAGCAACTCTAGGATGTTCATCATGTAGTTCTTGTCATTAATTTTATCCTAGTGAGTAAATAATCTTGTCCTCAACTATTTTTAATTTTTATTTGCAGGTAAGCTTTTGGGTTGTTAGAGAGATTCTTCATGCCCAAACATTAAAAATTAGAGCAGAAGTTTTAAGCCACTATATTAAAACTGCTAAGGTAAGAAAAACCTGTTTTTATTTTTGAGTTCAACCATTCAGAAATATTTGTAAGTGGATATTTGCCTGTGGTACTTTTACTGTTTATTGATACTGGAAAATAAGGCATCGTGATAAACATAAGTCAGTTTTTAAATCGAGTACCTGTTTTCTTTCCCTTTCTTCCTTTCCTTCCTCCCTCTCTCTGAGTAGCTGAAATGTATGATCTGTTTCACTAGGTAAGTAGACAGAGGTCGGGTTATGGAAAAGTATGATATTTATGAAGTATTGGACTATTATGCAGGTGATGGAGAAAGCCATATAGGATTAAGTAGAATGCATATCAATTTTTTGCTTCTGAAATAGATCACTCTGCCAGCCATGTGAAGAATAACACTTTATTTTTAAAAGAATAATATATATGATGTTACCAAATACATTAACTAAGCAATTATGTGTGGCATAGATAATAAATGCAGCAAGAAAAATGGACCAAGGATAGTCACAATTTAAAGAGGAGAGTGGAACAGGACATTCCGAATAACACTTTATTTTTAAAAGAATAATATATATGATGTTACCAAATACATTAACTAAGCAGTTATGTGTGGCATAGATAATAAATGCAGCAAGAAAAATGGACCAAGGATAGTCACAATTTAAAGAGGAGAGTGGAACAGGACATTCTGTAAGTGGATACTGAGATTTTATTAAAACCTGTAACAACTCCAAATTTATGTTAAGTTCACTAAGAACTATACTAATTGTAGCCACATTCATTCTTCATTATTCTTGTAATAAATACATAAGTTATATCATCTGTGAATTAAAGTTAAAGTAAGGATACCGTGTTTAGTATTATTATAAGTCATAACTCTTCCATATTTTCTTGGAACACATGAGAGCAATTGTATTCTAACAAATTCTGTGGCACTAGGTGGCAGACATGGCCTTCTACAAATTTGAAATTTTGCAGAAGTATCATAAAATTTGTAAAAACATTCTTTGTGATATGTTAGATAAATATTGGTTTTTAGCTAATCAAATTTAATGGCTTTTCTCCATAGATCCTGAATTTCCATTATTTTCTGATATTTTTGTTAGTTTTTTTATTTACTTGTATGTTTCATTCAAAACAACCAAATTTTGCCCATCAAACCTGCCCCTAATCTTCTTATCAAATAACCATTTGATTCCAGTTCAGACCCTCAGACTGGAAGTTAATTTTGGCAGCACTTGCTGTCATTCCAAGCCCTAAATTCATAATTGTTTCTTTTCTCATCACTGTCCCTTGAATCTTTCTATTCTGACTCTCTGCCTTCAATATTGTGTTTGTTATAAAACGGGCAGGTCTGTCTCTTCCTTAGTAGATTTTGTATTCAGTTGGTGTTCTTCAGAGAGATGGAACCAATAGCATTCTGTGTAAACATGTATAAAGAGATTTAAATATAAAATGTATAAAGAGGTTTAAGGAATTTTGGCTCATGTGATTGTAGGGGCTGGCAGTCTGGAATCTATAGGGCTGGCCAACAGGCTGGAAATTTAGGCAGGAGCTGAGGTGGTAGTCTTGAGGCAGAAGTCTTGAGGCAGAATTTTTTCTTTTCTGGGAAATCTCAGTTTTTACTCTTCAGGGCCTTCTAAATGATTTAATGCAGCCCACCACATTATCAAGTGTAAGCTTTTACTTAAAGTCAACTAATTGTAGATGTTAAACACATCTACAAAATATTTTCATGGCAATACCTAGATTCCTGTTTGATTAAATAACTGGTACTATAGTCTAGCCAGTTGACACATAAAACTTACCATCACATAGATACAAAATAATATTTATAAAAATATTTATGGTATCAAAAGAATGATAAAGTAGATACCCATTTACCCACTGCCCTCTTTGAATTCCCATATGCCTCTTCATGTGGAATCTCCTTCCCTCCTACTGTAAAGGGAACCACTGCCCTGAATTTTATGTTTGCTTTTCTTTTATACTTTTACTCTGTATATGTGTTTCTGAGTCATATATTGTTGTATATGTATGCTTTTTAATTTTGTTTAAATTTTATTATTCCATATTTACTTTTATACTTTTAAAACTTTATGGGGGGGATGGTGGCTGGTTAACTCACTTGGAAGACCATGGTTCAGATCCCCATACCAGCCAGCTACAAAACAAAAAAAACCTTTTTTTAAAAAAACTCAGCAGTGTTACTTAATCGTTTGGGGAATAGTCTGTTGTAGAGTATTGTGTTGTTTGCATAGACCACAAATTATTTAGTGTACTGTGGTTTGGATAGTTTCCATATTTTTGCTATTATAAACACTGCTGGTAAAAACATTCTTGTATGAATCTCTTGGTGGTCATGTGAGGGTTAAAGCCCTAGAAATAATAGAGTTCACACTAACAGTGAAATTGCAGAGTCATAGGGTATGCTCATCTCTTTAACTTTGTTTTCCAAACTAGTTATACTAATACACACTGTGGTCATGTGAGGGTTAAAGCCCTAGAAATAATAGAGTTCACACTAACAGTGAAATTGCAGTCATAGGGTATGCTCATCTCTTTAACTTTGTTTTCCAAACTAGTTATACTAATACACACACTCACTAATAATGTTTGAAGGTGCCTGTTGCTCCACATCTTTGTCTCACCACTTGATATTGTCGGAATTTTCCATTATTGCCAGTTCTGGTGGGTATGAAATGTGTTTCATCTTACATTTTAGCTTTAATTACCCTTCATTGAATCTGATAGGAATGAACATCTTTTCTGTGTTAGCCATTTAGGTTTTCTATCTTGAAATATCTGTTCAATATCTTTCAGCAATTTTTCTATTGTGATATTGGTCTTTTACTGATTTTTTTTTTTTNTGAAATATCTGTTCAATATCTTTCAGCAATTTTTCTATTGTGATATTGGTCTTTTACTGATTTTTTTTTTTTTCTTTTTGTCTCTTTTTTACTGACCGGTAACGGGATCGCAACCCTCGATGTCGCGCCCGTACCGGGGACCG